TAATATTAAAAATAAATTAATTCTTATATTTTTTATATAAATTATTAAAAAATATAATTAGTGCATCTTAATTTATATCATAAAGAAACATAAAAAAACAAATCCTCAAAAAAGGAAACATAAAAAACAAATCTATATTTATATCTCCTAATATCTTTTTTAATTTTTTAAGTAAAAGGGTATACTTGGAGTTGAATTTAAAAAAAAAAAAATCAAATGCAATTTTAATTTTTAACAAAAATAATTCTGAAAAGTAAATATTTTATAACTTAATCACAAGATAAAATTCTTACATATCATAACTCCATCATCAAATAGATTAACAACAGGCAGACATTATATATCCTCTATAAACAAAAGTGAACTTTTTTTTTCAAAAGTGTCCCATGCTTGAAGCTCTTGCACGCCTGCATATTTTCTATGGAGTCCAAGCTCTTTCTATGGTAGAAGATGAAGCTAAAATGCTAAAATTAAGCTCATAAATCATTTTTAACTACTAGCCATGGCGCCGGCGCGAAGTTAATGGCAGAAGTTTTTCAGTTTCTATGGAGTCTTTCAGAGTTCCTTCCTCTATAAGACTTTTCAATAAGAAGTATGAAAGATGTCAGATGATTGCACAATTCCAAAAAGAAATAAAGGAACCGGCTATTCTAAGTTTCCGGTAACTCATCTAAAGTGATGGTGACGTGGAAAAGCCATTAAGCGGGTGTTCGTTGGCGAGTGCTGGCGGCGATTGCCCGTAGCATTCCTCATTTAACAAATCCCCAACCTTAGCGATGTCCTCTTTATGCCTCTCAACCAAAACTCTTGCGCTGACATCAATGACTAGAATTCCAACTCCACATCCTTCGACGCCTTGCAGCGGTACTTCATCCATTTGCATCTTTTCTTCTTTTTCTTCTATCTTCTCCCCTGTCTCCTTAGATCTTTCTCTCTTTTCTTCTCCCGTCTCGTCAGATCTTCCTCTGCCTCTTAATTTCAATTTCTCAAGTTACCAGCGTATACTTCTTAGTTTTCCTGTTACCTTCTCATATTTTTTATTTTTAAATTATATTGCTGGGTCACGTATAGTGAGCATGATCAGGATGTTAAGTCTCAAATTTGAAAAAAAAAAAGAAAAAGAAAAAGAAAGCGTAATAAGGAGATGAGTAAGTGCTTCCATTGTTAATAATTCCCAAAATTGCAAAAGAAAAAATTTAAAAAGAGTTGATGCCCTGCTGTGACTGGGAACCATGCCTGCCTTCCTCTTATTTCTTTTGTGGCTGCAGATTGTGCATCCGTGGGAGTTTATGTTTTAATGCGTCTGTTTTAGTTGGTGTTTAATTTTCTGTGTCTAGTTTAGTGTCTCTGTTCATGTTTTTATTAGTGACATTTTGATCTTGTATTGAATCTCATACATTTTAATATAATGATCTCTTTTTTCTGCCATTAAAAATTAAAAAAAGAGGAGCAGATTAGTAAAGTTTCAATTGTTGATAATTAGTATACAATTTCTTAAAGTTGTAATCTTTTATTTTGTTGGTCAAATTCAGTACTCAATCTTTTCTCCCTCCTATTGTTTTTCCTGTTAGGTCTATTATTTTTATTTATTACATTTATTTATTTATTTATTTTTTATTGGCAGCTATTTGTCAACAGTGGCCGCTATCTGCTGCACCATTATAGCAGATTTTTACTTCGGACGTTATCTGCTATCAACTATCCTTCCTTCTTCATATTTTCTCAAAAAAAAAAAAACCTTTCCCCTTCACAAATTGAACTCTGAAATTTGATATTCCTCCACTTTCTGCATCCTT